TTTGTACGGCATGTGTATTTATGGTCTCGAGCATGTGTAACCCCGACAACCAACTAAAATTACTTCAAAAATCAAATTGAGCGGGATATGCCAAATTAACGATTGACATTTGAGTATAAAAGTTAATCCACTCTTGGTCATGTGACCAAGTGGTTTACTCGGAAGATGAACGTTTACTTAGTCTCCTTAGTTTCAACACGGTTACTAAAAAAGAGTAACCGTGGTTTCAAGTAAACCGCCACAGTTTTATACAGAGAATCCTCTATCCTCCTCTATAGAGGATAAACACGTATCATACTTGTGTTGTGAAAGGAACGTAGAGTGTAGGGACTTCTACTCGCTTGACAGATAACAATTATACTGTAGAGATACCAGGTTCAACCCCAAACAAATAAGGTAAGAGTGTGATGGAAATAAACACGAATCGGCGTGTGCGGCGGTTTTAGATGTCGATCACCTTCTCTGAACCCACCAACACAGCCCGAATTATTAACACATTCAAATTGGGATGGATGTCTGAACATAAACTTGCCTTCATCAACAGAGGTATTAAAGCTTGAATAAAGCACGAATTTGTTTATAGTTGTGGCTTGACGACTGAGCTGTAATCAGTCAAATCGCCCTCAACGTTAGGAGGATACCAGCAACCAGGGCTACTAAAAAGCAGTCCGGGCACTCTTATTCTTTAAGTATACGAGTAGGCACCACCGTTTTTCCCCTCGCATGTTCACTGTCGAGCCAATCTGATCCCAATTTTTAAAAAAATGAGTCATTTTTGGCGAAAACGCAAATTTGAGGCGAATGCCCTCAACGTCGATTCCTTTTGGGTCCAGTTTTGAACTGATTGCGGAGCACTCCCGCTCGAAATCCAGAAGCGAAAAGTTCCATCCAATATCTTAGCCTAACATTTACAACATTGCTGTGCCCCCTCGCACACACGTAGTTATACAAGCCCTCTTCTGGATGATTTTTTCTGGAAATTGGTCAAAATATATACACTACATGTTCACAATAGTGAGGTAGTGCAGGCATCTCAAATATGTTGGCCATATCCATCAGCTTGGGTGGTGTACTCTTGAAAGGGAGATGTAACAAGTAGAATATGTCACTTTATCTCGTTCACCCATCGGCCTGGAAAATAGAAGAAAGTCACGGAACTGTATAGCCTATATACAGTAACGTGACTTTCTTCTATTTTCCAACTATACCAGTATATAACTGGAAATATTGTAATTATTGACAATCGTAATTGGGAGCGACGTCAGCTGTTTCGAATAAATTATAAAAATATTATTTACCAATTACCAATATTTCAAGTTATCAATATATACGCCCAAACATACAATACATGCCACACGCTTCCAAACAAGAATTACAGAAATTGTCACTGAAATAAGGCACTTTAATTCACACTTGTCTAAATGAACCAAGTGGTTGACAATTAACCTATAATGTATATATTGCAGACAACTGTTTTATTTTTATTTGAGAATCGTAACAAAGTTATCCAAGTAGAAATGATGGTGCAGGAGAATGCATATCCATTATTTATGCAGCTTCTTCATCTTCACCTTCCTCCTCATCAAATTCACCCTCTTCTTCAGCTGTTGCATCCTGGTATTGTTGGTATTCAGATACCAAGTCATTCATGTTGGATTCGGCTTCAGTGAATTCCATCTCATCCATACCTTCACCAGTGTACCAATGCAAGAAAGCCTTACGACGGAACATAGCGGTGAACTGCTCAGATACACGCTTAAAGAGCTCTTGGATGGCAGTGCTGTTACCAATGAAGGTACCAGACATCTTGAGACCACGGGGTGGGATGTCACAGACGGCAGGTCTTTACGTTGTTGGGGATCCATTCAACGAAGTAGCTGCTGTTCTTGTTCTGGACATTCAACATCTGCTCGTCAACTTCTTTCATGGACATACGTCCACGGAAGATTGCAGCCACTGTGAGATAACGACCATGACGTGGGTCACAAGCAGCCATCATATTCTTGGCATCGAACATTTGTTGGGTTAACTCTGGTACGGTGAGTGCACGGTATTGCTGGCTACCACGACTGGTCAATGGAGCGAAACCAGGCATGAAGAAATGGAGACGTGGGAATGGTACCATGTTGACAGCCAATTTACGGAGATCAGCGTTCAATTGGCCAGGGAATCGCAGACAGGTGGTCACACCACTCATGGTTGCCGACACCAAATGGTTCAAATCACCATAAGTAGGAGTGGTGAGTTTCAAAGTACGGAAGCAGATATCGTAGAGGGCTTCATTGTCAATACAGTAGGTTTCATCGGTGTTCTCAACAAGCTGATGGACTGAAAGGGTTGCATTATATGGTTCAACAACAGTGTCTGATACTTTTGGTGATGGTACAACACTGAATGTGTTCATTATGCGATCTGGGTATTCTTCGCGGATTTTGCTGATGAGTAGGGTGCCCATACCAGAACCAGTACCGCCACCAAGAGAGTGAGTCAACTGAAAGCCCTGCCAATAGAAAAGGGATAAAACAGTTAGTCTATGTGTCACATTGTGCATTATATACACGCACGTACAATAACAATACAATATTACAGTTCACTATACACTTGCTCAAAACTCATGTCACGTATAGTACACGTTCCCTTGGCTTGGAGACATGGCCTTTAGAAACCGTGACGACTCCTGCAAATTGATATTTTCTCTAAACTAAAACTACACATTACCTGTAGGCAATCACAACTCTCTGCTTCTTTGCGGACAACATCTAATACAGAATCTACCAACTCTGCACCTTCTGTGTAGTGACCTTTGGCCCAGTTGTTACCAGCACCACTCTGACCTGTGAAATAAATTTGCATTGTTTAGTCGATCATTCCGAAAACAAAATTTCAAGAAGGATATTAGTAACAAATATTAATATTCACAAGGCAAAAACATTACCACATTGCATAACATCGTCGAGGTGCATATATAAATTAATCCACACTGATGGTAAAACTTACCGAATACAAAGTTGTCTGGTCTGAAAATTTGTCCGAAAGGACCAGATCGGACCGAGTCCATGGTACCTGGTTCCAAATCAACCAGGACTGCACGTGGAACGTATTTGCCACCAGTTGCTTCATTGTAGTACACGTTGATTCTTTCTAACTGAAGATCAGAGTCGCCGTGGTAGGTACCAGTGGGGTCAATTCCATGCTCATCAGAAATGACTTCCCAAAACTGTTGGTTGAAAACAACAAAAATATTACAATACTACGGTGAGGATAAATCTTGCAATGGTGTTAATTGATAATAAATAGGGTGTAATGTATTTGTTTTATTTGTAAACCTGAGGGATGAAAAAAAATGTGCTCCTTTAAATATTGTATTCTTTAAACATGTCACACAATAGATTTGTCATTCATGATATTACAATTCTTTAACAATGTTGACTGAATAATTTAGACTAGCGAGGTAACATTGAAAACCCTCCGGTTTGTTTGCACACTTCCCATATTTTTGGAATCTCGGGACATGTCCAACTTTTTGATGGCAAAGTTTTTTTTCCTGTTCAGAAAATATAGGCTTCCTTTGTACAGAAAATTGTATAGCGTTCTGTCGGGCTTGTTTTCACTCCTCAAATTTCTGACTGTTTTACCCCCCGATCATTCTCATTTAGGTTTCATAAACTAACATTCACGCCAAAAGTTCGAAGTTATTATTAACGCGTGTAAAAATCAAGGATGGCACTTCACCCTCACTGAAGTTTTACAATGCCCCTCAATTTTTACCCTCAAGTAATTGTACACAATTATCCTGCGTCTTTAGAAAATTGCATGGAAAATCATTGTTCTCAAAAAACAGCTTTTTCTACGAACAGCTCTACCTGGATGTTTATGTTATGAGCGTTGCTATGGACACCTGACTGCGTTTACGATGAATGTAACCATGCGAGCCGAGTAACCTTTAATTATCAGATAATTGTGTGTATGCAAATATGTTTGTACGTCGTTACGGCAACGTTCCGCACGTGTGAACTGTGGCATTGGCGACGGGTAGCAACGTGCCGCTTTTTCAAAACAATCGCGTCCCACCAGAGAAACAAAGCAGGATCGATCAGCATAATAATATACTCTACTACGTTATCTAAAGCTCAATAAGTAGTAATTATATTAAAACGAACACGTTTTATTGCGTACTAACTAAGTTACTTCCATAGCCCCCAAACATAAATAATTTAAGATTATCAGTGATGATTCTAACTACGATATAAAAACAATTGCAACAAATTACTGAACGTTTGTTGAAAACATTAAAAAAAACTTGGGTATGAAAATTGATTTCCCGGTTCAAGCGTAGAGCCTCGTCTTTATTTTCTATGCACCTGTTGAACACACCGGTTGATAAAGATAATCTAAAACTTTAAAACAAAACAGAAAACCAGACTTACCTTGGCACCGATTTGGTTACCACACTGACCAGCCTGGAGATGTACAATTTCACGCATATTGAAGGTTAGTGACTGGAATGTTTCACGGAGAGAATAAAAAACACAGTGGTCCAATTTTCAGTCAGAATCAGAATGTAGGTTGATGACACGACACTGTTTATTTTATCTGTGTAAATGGCATGATCTCGTTGTGCCAATCCGCTTATTGTCTTAAGGTGGGAGAAAATAGTCCGGTGTTGTTTCACGCATTGTCGTATAATAACTTGCGTATCGTGGAATGTGTGTGAACGTTCCTCGTGGAACAAGTGACGTCACAGTGTTGAGTTGTTTCTGGTAACACGAATAGAATAATTACGCGTACTAATGTATGTAAATCGATAAACTCATAGTTGCTGTCGACATAGGAAGTAAAGTAAGCAAATAACACCGAATAAACGGCAAGGTAAAGACTATGTCTAATTATAGTAAATACGTACTGCGTGCGTGACTCGAACCAGCGCTCGCGTACGGCACCTAATCGCCTAGCTTCACGCCACTACACGTCTTCCCCTCGGCCACCGGGCATCCCCAAAAAAGGATGCTTAATAACCGAGCTTATTACGTGCAGAGAACGTGAAACCCGTCCACGCGATACGCGCCACACAGCATGGCCAGAATGCGGCAAAGGCCTTCAGATCTGGCTGTAGTAGGATGGTGAAAGTAACGGTACAGCATTTTAACAGTGAATAAGTACTGAGAAATAATTTTTAAACTCATAGTTGCTGTCGACATAGGAAGTAAAGTAAGCAAATAACACCGAATAAACGGCAAGGTAAAGACTATGTCTAATTATAGTAAATACGTACTGCGTGCGTGACTCGAACCAGCGCTCGCGTACGGCACCTAATCGCCTAGCTTCACGCCACTACACGTCTTCCCCTCGGCCACCGGGCATCCCCAAAAAAGGATGCTTAATAACCGAGCTTATTACGTGCAGAGAACGTGAAACCCGTCCACGCGATACGCGCCACACAGCATGGCCAGAATGCGGCAAAGGCCTTCAGATCTGGCTGTAGTAGGATG